TCTGGTCCCACTGTGCATATCAAGATGGAGCTGCGAGTACACAGCTCAAACAGGAAGACATGATATAGACAAGGCCAACCATTATAGAGCAGCCTAAGATTCAAGAGAACAGGGAACCTTGGGGAATAAGAGCTATCTGTGATCCCTCAGCACCTCAAACACACTTCTACTCTAGGACTTATTACAGGATGATTTATTCACGTTTGTCTCTCTCACTTTCCAGAGCTGAAACTTCCCAATGTGCCTCTAATGCAATACAAGTCAGCTGGAGTTACTGATTCTATTAGTCACTGGATGGCTGGGCAGGGCTGGGGTGGCTAGAGGCCTTGGGCCAGTCATCTCAGGTTTCATGTCTCACTATTACCATTTTCTGTGTATGTCATCATGGGAAAAAGGTTGGGAAGTACTTCCCTAGACTATGAGCCCTTTGCCAGCAGGGACTATGCCTTATTCACGTTTCATGTCCCCAGCATCCAGCACCATGACTGACTTGTAGCTAGTGATTGACATGCTTGTTGAGGAGAATAGTTCTACTGAGGGTGGCAAAACATTTGTGGGGTCGGGGAACAGAGTATTCTATAGGTGTTTGCTGATATTTTTCCGGTACCTGACAAACTGCAGAAATGGTTTCCATGTTCTCAGAGCCCTAGAGTTCCTTGGATGGAATTTAGAGGCTGTCTGAGATGAGGGGGGACCATACGAGGGCTCTAATTATGCTCTCCCACTCCTACCACCACCAGAGCAACTCCACTTTTATTCATTTTATGTATTAGATTTCAAATAAGATTTTATTTAAAGTAAAGTTTGATTCTTTACCAAAAAAGTACAAAAACCATTGCAACAAAGAGCAAATGCTATCCTGCATCCTAAGCTCATGCTGAAGTTTAAACATTTGTGGTTGACACTCTTGTGCATAAACTAATAAAGGAAGGGTTATGCTCGTCTCTCACCAGTAATGGGAGAACTTTAAGGTACCAGGAGACCTGCCACATCCAGTCATCTCACCTTTCTTTAGGAATATGGTGATAATGGTGGATCCCTGAAATCTTAAGCCACTTCTTTTCTGGTCCATATGGTATGGCAGCTATTTTGCAGAGGTCCATGACAAAGCTCTAACACATTCACAGAATCCCTACCTCAGTCAGTTCTTTCCCAGACTATAATATGAAGCCTTTGAATATTTGTGGGATTCCTTCCAAATGCTCCCTGTGTCTTTTCCTTATCAAAAAGCTTTATTAGCACTCTACCTATATTTGCAATAGATAGTAGAGTAGAGGAGGTGTGGTAGACAGAATTATACAATCTCTGGACCATAACACAGTACATTCTAAAACAGATACTCAGAGGCAGACATTTAAAAAAGATACGACTAAATGAAAAGAATAGCCCAGGAAATGGAGGATCCTGAAATCCTAATTAAGACCTAAAATAACAGGACCCAGGAATCTAAATCCCTGACCTGGGTCAACCAGGAGGCTCTTTTATGGAAGAGTCAACCATTACCTCAGAGTCACATTGACTTTTCTAACATGAACGCTATTGTTGAGCTCCCACGTTTTCACCCTACATCCAACTTGACGGTTCAGGGCCCCTGCTTTGCTCCAGCTTTACCTCCCACTCAGGCAGCAGGAGCTGCCTCTGTGAGGCTGATACTGAAAAAAGATTTCACTGCTCATAAGCCTACGACCAGCATAGAAAGTCATGGTAACAATCATCCCTCTACACAGGCACCTAGGGTGGCAAGTTGTTCTTTTGTAAACCTCCTTTCCTCTAAGGCAGCCCTGAGTGTTCATATTATTGTTACTATTATGATGATAAATTATTAATGGCAGCTAACATTTATTTGGCAATTACTATGTGCTTTGCACAATACTAAGTGCTTTATACTTATTATCTCATTTAATTCTCATGACAACCCTATTAAGTAGGTACTATCATTACCTTCCTTACAGATAAAGAAAATGAAGCTAAGAGAAGACAAGTAATTTTACCAAAAACATGCAACTAGTAATTAGCAGAGGTAAGATTTGAACCCAATTTTGTCTGATTCCAAGGTCCACTCTTAACTACTATACCATTCTGCCTCTAAATTTACCTGCAACAAAAATGGTAAGAAGAGCCAAAAATAGCGATATGCTATGAATCTCAGGCCTTTTGGCATCTGTTTCTAAAAGTATACCAGGAAGCAAATTCCACAATTTCTCACAGCTACATACTCAGCTTTAACGAATCTGGTTTTAAGCTGGGCATGGTAGTACATGCCTGTAATCCCAGCTTCTCGGGAGGTTGAGGTGGGAGGACTGTTTGAGCCCAGGAGTTCAAATCCAGCCTGGGTAACATAGCGAGATCCCATGTCAACCCGTGTCAAAAAACTTCTTTAAACTAAAAAAAGAAACTGGTTTTAAAGAAGTTTTTCCTTCTAACCAATAAATCCCGCCCTCTGAGTCCATTTCCTGTTATTATGATTCTAGTGGAAAAGAGAGTAGGGTGAATGAATACACGCTACAATATGACCTTTTATGCACTTAACACTTCACTTCCACTCTTCCCAGCCTACTATCTGCTCTCCTTTATACTTGCATTCAGTATAACAATAGCAAGTACCACTCACTGGCACCAATTCTGTGCTAGGCACCATATATATATATACACTGGCTCCTCCTCCATAATCTCAAGGATCCCAATTCATATACAACACTTCCAAACACTTAGGTCTGATGGAGAGACTCCTCCACCCATAATGGGGAAGCAGGAAATCTGGGATGTTGGATATATAATGATTGTGTTCTAGTACTATTTTTCTTTTTGGGTCTCAGTTTCCATTATCTATGCCTGTTCTGTGCTTCCCAGGAAGGTGGAGAGACCAAGACTTCTCAATTACAAAGGCTAAAGGTCTTTGTACCCTTATTCTGCTATTTCCAGGCACTTTTGCCCACAGCCAAACCATCTCTTTCCTTTTTCTTAAACTGTAGTTAGAAAGCTTGTTGAGTTTTTTCTATTCACATTCTGTATCCATCATGGGTACCTACTGTGTGCATAGGCATTGCAGGAGACAAGAGACAAATTCCAGTTTCTGCACTCAAAAAGCTTCTAGTCTCAGCCGGGTGCGGTGGCTCACGCCTGTAATCCCAGCTCTCTGGGAGGCCGAGGCGGGCAGATTGTTTGAGCTCAGGAGTTCGAAACCAGCCTGAGCAAGAGCGAGACCCCGTCTCTACTAAAAATAGAAAGAAATTAATTGGACAACTAAAAATATATAGAAAAAATTAGCCGGGCATGGTGGCGCATGCCTGTAGTCCCAGCTACTCGGGAGGCTGAGGCAGGAGGATCTCTTGAGCCCAGGAGTTTGAGGTTGCTGTGAGCTAGGCTGATGCCACGGCACTCTAGCCCGGGCAAAAGAGTGAGACTCTGTCTCGAAAAAAAAAAAAAAAGCTTCTAGTCTCTTTGGAAAAGCAAGATACATACACGGAAAAATTCTGACTAGGCAAAGCAATAATTCTATGCTGGGAGGCAGGAGGTGGGAGTATGTGATATATGGGAGCCCTTCCTGGCTGAATCCAAGGTCAATGATTCATTCTGTGGAAAGCTGAATCTCAATGGATTAGTTTCTTTCTCAGAATGAGCTTTTTACAAAAAGGCATGTTATTCAAACTCAGGTCCAATATGCAATGAGCAATCCACTGTCCCATGCCAGTCACAGCAAGTGAACACACTTGCCCCAGCAACATGCCCAAGACAAAATGGCAGCAAAGACTGTCACTGACTACCTGACTGGGGACAGGGAAGGAGGTAGGCAGAGACTAGATTCTGTCCTGTTGCACTGACCCAAGCAATCAGACTCCTGCAGCAGATCTCTCAATAAAACTTTCATGCCATAGACTAGGGGTGACCCAATCCAACAGCAGCAGAGACAGGTTTTAGGTTACATTTCTAGCTCACCGGATGACCTCACTATTTCTTCTCACTCTTGACCACATACCACACTCCTCCACCTCCACCATCACACTTGTCCTGGCCTGGCCAGATGGAGACCCGCAATAACACAACCCAGAAAGAAGGGAACTCCCCCAAAAGAACAGCTACCACTTTGCTAATCAAGTGGCCCGTTTTAACAGGGAACTCCACCTCCCTCCTCCCCCCTCCTTCCCTCAAAGGACTGGCGTAAGCAATGGCTCCATTTTCTGTTCCGGGAATCCTGGTACTTCCTAAAGAAAGAAAGCGGATTGGAAGACACAAACTCAGGGCCAGTGACAAGATGCTCTCTCCTCCTGTGAGACCGCCCCCGCTTCGCCTGGGGGAGGAAAGCTCCACCTCTCTTCTCCGAGCAAGATCAGATCCCTCTCCCCCTTCTCCTGCCTCCTCTCCACCCTCTCCCCACCTGCTGCCCTCTTCCCAACCTGCGGTTCCCAAGACCCGAAAGCGCAACCTACACCAAAATAGTGCCCCTGGGGTGTCCCATCAGCCTGCCCCGTTGGCTAACCCCCAAACCCCCTACGCACCACTGTCCCATGATGGGGGGAGGGGGTGTAACCACAACAAGGCTTCTCTCTGGTCTCCTATTGCTAAGATGGGGGAGGAAAAGGGAGTAGGAGAGAGCAGCATTCTCTAGCCCTTTAACAGAAAAAAGATAACAAAACAGCCATCACCGCCCCCGCATCACCTATCCCCGGACGGCTTTCCTCCTCCTCGACCCCGACCCTTGGAAAGCCCACCTCCTGAAGGCCAGGAGAACCCAACTGCAGCCCCAAGTCGCCCCCTTGTGAGAGGCGGAGGACAAATCCGTGTGCGGCCCCCACCCCCACCCCAGCTCCGCGTCCTTCAAACGCTGGGGCAGGCGTGGGGCTAGCCAGACGCCCCCTCTCCAAGCTCTCGGGTGGGAAGGACCACACCGCCCCATGTCAGGCAGTGCCAGGCGGGGCCCGGGGGCCTCTATCTCCTCAGCTCCCACCCCAACTGAGTGCCTCTTCTCTACGGGGATCCGCCTTCCTTCCCTAGCCCCTCACCTGTTCCTGCTCCCGGTTCCTCCGCTGCGGCCGCAGCCTCCGCCCTTCAGGTTCCGCTCCTCTCTCGCTCCTCTCCCTCCGGCTCCCAAGCCGACTTCAAAGCGGCTGCTCCCCTGGCCGGCTCGGCGTCTCCCTCTCCCTCCTTCCCTCCACCTAGCACCGGAAGCCGCGACAGCGACAGTAGCAGTGCAGCGCACCCCCACCCCCAGCCCGGGATACTTCCCACCTCCCTGATCGCGCGAGAGCTGTGCGGCAGCGAGCGGCAGTTCTCGCGAGACCCATCACCATGGCAGCAGCTGCAGCACAGGCGGCCAGGCGCTGGAGCAGGAGTCAGGGCGGGGGCCGGTGTGGGGGCTGGAGGTTGTGGGCGGCGGAGGCGGGAGCCAGGAGCCGGGAATGGGAATGAAACAGCGGGCACTGAGGTGAGAATCCCAAGCTCCATGGTTGTGCCTGGAATTTAAGGACTGAGGCCGCGCGCCGGCTGCACTGGGGCCTGGAGCTGGGCTGAGGGGCCCAGGGGCTCCTTTGGGCAAAGCCAGGAGCTGTATATTGATGAACAGGCTTTACTGTGGCCAGTCTTACCCCACCAGACTTTATCTTTATTTCTTAATCTGAGCTAGCTGCATTGCCCCGAGAGCCTTCACTGAACTATTGTTGCTGCTCGCTATTCCTAAGTTACTATTCCTAGGTTACTCCGGAGTCTGAATCAAGAGATCCTTTCCCATAAGGAAGAGAGAGAGTGATGAGTTTAAGAGACTAAAGGACTCTGGGCCAGTTAGGAAGTTGGAACTTGAAAGACAGGGTTGAAGCATAATATTCAGAGGTGTCGTTTGATGAAGTGTACCTAGATGTGTATGGATTTTAGTATCTCCAGGAAAAGTGAAGGACTTTGCACCCATGTTTCTTCCTTCCTACCCACCCCCACTTCCCTCACACTCATTTTTGCACCTGATCTAAACATGCAGCGCTGCCTTGAAAGAGTCACAGCTGTGATAGAAGGGCCCTAGTAATGCTAAAAACAGAAGAATGTTCTTTAAGTGCCCTCTCTCATTTACAGCGGTATGGGGGAACGCATGGCTCTTCCCTAAGGCTTGAGCCAAAACTGTTGCTCTTCTGAATTTTTTGCCTTGTTTTTTGTCTCCTTCCAAGAAGAACTAGGCTGGTAGCCATACTATGCCTATCCCTTGTTCCCATCAATATCTGGTGTATGCATTCACCAGTCCCTTATCCCAGTCTGTTTTCTCTCTTATGTTAACCTGAAAAATAACATGATCCTAGAATGTAAAGTCAAGAGGACTCTAATTTAAGATGGAGAGGGATGAGATGGATAACAAGGAATCTGTTATAACACGGAGAGTTGTATCTGTCCTGGGTCATTGCTGTAAGGGCCTTTGCCCTGATAAACTCTGTGTTTGGGGCTTTTTTTTAAAAGACTGGCTCTTGCTATGTTGCTCAGGCTAGAGCACCTGAGCTATTCACAGGAGCAATCACAGTGACCACACACAATGCACTACAGCCTTGAACTCCTGGGTTCAAGTTATACTGCTTCCTCTGCCTGGCAAGTAGCTGGGACCGCACTGGGCAGGTCTGTGTTTTTTAAAGGCAAAAGACTCCTCCAGTCTTATTACAGACTCCTAGAGTGGGCATTGTGATATTGTGATACCTCCACGTGATTACTCTTTCTATTTCTTTTCCTAGAAATTTCTAGTAACACCCCACCATGTTACACATCAACGTTGACCACCAAAATTATGCTTTTCAATTCCTCCCTAGTTCCCTTACCGCACCCACATGCCCTGTAGGACTCTGACATGGAGGTGGAACCTGTCAATGTTCCTGTCCAAGACTTCAGATCCTCTCAAGTTTGTATCCCATGCGTAACAGGATAGAAACGATGACAGCCCTAGCACTCTGGAGGCTGAGGTGGGAGGATCGCTTGAGCCCAAGAATTTGAGGTTGCTGTGAGCTAGGCTGATGCCACGGCACTCTAGCTCAGGTGACAGAGTGAGATTCTCAAAAGAAAAAAAATGATGACAGCCTAATACAGTTAACAGCAAGTACCATGGTATTTGAGTGAGGACTAAAAATGGGACTGGAGAATCTCCCAGCTCTTCGGTCCTTCACTTCTTTGGAGTCTGGAGAAGAAAGTGTCCATTGCAGCATCAGAGTGGGCTGCCCATGGAGCAAACAGGAGCAGAGATAGGAGGAGTGCTACCCAGCTAGCAATTAGCTGGCCTTTCGCTCTCCAATTTCCTAGCCACTTGGTAAAAGCCAGAGGGAGTAGAGCTCATCTGGAGCTGAAGGAGGACAAGAGGCCTGACTTACAGTCCATCAGTCTTTCTCCCTCCCTCTTTGGAAACTAGTAAAAGCTGAAATTGTAGCCACCAGCTCTGTGGGTTGCATATTCCAACCCTGTCACTGACCCCAGGCCTTGGCCTGAGCCCAGTGCGTGTGCCGGGAGCAGGATTGGGGAGTGGCGGGATTGTGTGTGTGGGGGGGGCAGTTGTTGGCCTTGCTGACAAAATCCATTTGGAATTTGTCAAGGTTGTGGTTTGGGGCTTAAGTTTGCCACAGAGTACGTTTGATGAAAGAAGAAGGAAAGCTAGAAAAGAAAGAGGGAGCCAAAGGGAATACAGAGGAAGGAAACAGGAAAAAGCGGAAATATTCTTGCTGAGACTCCATTAGAGATTCTCCTTCCTCTTCCTGAGCATGAGAAATTCCAGTTCTGGATATTCTTTATCATTATTCTCTCTCATATCCTATGTCCATTCTAGGTGTATCCCCTCTCCCTTGCTCTTTTCCGCATATACACACTAGGTTCAGTAAGTGCCTAAAGTAAGGATGGAACATCTGCCTCCATCAAATTTCCAAGCCCAGAATTCTCAATGCTCAAGTGAAAATTCAGGACATAAAATTTTGCCATTAAAGTATACCCTAACCCAAGACTCCTCAAAATTTCCTTGCTACCCTGGTGCTCCACTCATTTCACCTGATTTTGAGGGTAATTTGGGTTGCAGATACATATGTTGCCTTGAGAAGTGAGAGAACAATTTCTACATTCCTTGGCCAAGAAGATGACCTGTTAGAGTCAGTATTTTGCAGCCCCTTGTAAGTATGCAGTTATTTGTAAAGTTCTAAACATGTGATGCATATCCCTTTTCTATATTGAATCTTAGAAAGATAATAGTTTATTTTCAAAGATATTGGGGCTAGGAATTTCTAGAAGGGTTGGAATAAAAGAAATTCTATTCTCTTTAGTTATGGTTATCTCTTAAAAGATAAAGGAATTATTTCACTAAGATGAAATACAAAAGAGCTCTGAATAAGGAAGGACAAAATGTATATACAAATAATTCAGTGGAAGAACATGCTGGTTTTGCTGATTTCTAGAGCAAAAATAGTCACATTTTGAGCATAGGAATCCCTTTAATATGTTTCCCATCAGTCTTACCTCTGCCTCCCAAGTTCTCTCATTCAGGGCCAGAGAAAAAAGTACCTGCTCTTTTGGGCCCAATCTCATTGTTAAGATATATTTAAGACTGGAAACCCCCCAGAACAAAGGAGACTTCATGGTCTAGAGCAGGGGTGAACAAACTACAGCCAGAGAACCAAATATGGTCCTGCAGCCCATTTTTGTGAAGTTTTATTGGACACAGTCATCCCCATTCATTTATGTGTGGTCTATAGCTGCTATTGATCTATAACAACAGAGTTTAGTAATTATGACACAGTTGAGTAGTTGGGACAAAGACCACAAGCCTAACATATTTATCATCTACCCCTTTAAAACAGAAAAACAAAATTGTCAACCCTTGTTCTAGGGCAGTGATCAAGGTAAAATCTGGAGTTGAGGCACATAGTAAACAGGGCCTACATTTGGATCTCTATAGCCCCTCCCACCTAGAAGTCCCTCTTGGTTTTTACAAAGTAAAAGTTGCCAACTTAGTCACTGAAGTCCATTTCAAATCCTTTGTGAAACTCAGCAGGATTTACATAAATAAAGTCTTTGAGTGTAGGAGGGTAGGAGAATTCACCTGGAAAAGAAGCCATGGACTTGGATCCCAAGTGTGGGTAGCTATATCACTATCTGCATCCACCAGTCCAGTAACTTAATTTATTACATTTTAGTTTCAAACAGGAACCAAGAACAAGTCTCAGTACAATAAATTATCTATTCCCGCCCCTCCTGCTGAAGAGGAAAAAGAGGCCCCAAGAGTCTTAGGAAAAACCCTTCTTTTGGAGGGTCCCTTTAACATGTGAATGGAAGGAGACAACTTCCCTAAGGGCCTGGACAGACAACTCTCTGAGGACTCAGGGTATAGTGTCCCCAGTACTCTGTGCCTTCCCCAAGAAAAAACTCTCTACCACTACTTCCCATTACCCCACAAGAGGGAGCCCAGGCTGCAGTAGAGGAATTTGGGAACAGCAAATAGGAGTGGGTGGTCTCTTTCTAGATACACGTCTATGGCTCCACACAATGCCTGTGGTTATCCCTCAAGGGAGAAGAGTGGTCAAACTACAGGGACTCCCTAGCCAAAAGGGGTGTGAGTCAGGATTAAAGGGGCCCTGAAGTTGAGAAGGGGGAGTAATACAGTGCATTTCATCTTAGTCCATTCAGGTGTTTTAAGGAGCAGAAAACGAGTAACAGCTTCCCACCACAGCCCTCCAACTTTCAGGGAGAAGGCTGTACATCACAGAGTCCTCCTGACCCCCGCCACTCTCAAAGCTGTTTCCAGGTAGATACTTTTAGCCTTCAGGGACCAAGATTGACCCTGGATGGAAATCAGAGCAAAGGGCTGAAAAGGTACCCCCTCTTACAGTCCCCTTTCCCAGCCCCAAGGTGAGGCTTACCCTCACTTACACACATTGACCCACTCTGTGACCTTGCACTCATCACACAGCACATAGCAGCACCAGTGGAAGCGGCAGTGGCAGCGTTCAACTCGTGTCTGCCGGAGCACGTTGTGCCCACGGCCACAGCACAGGCTGCCACAGCCATCCAACAGGTGGCTGGTCTTGTTGCAGGCCCGGCCTCTCGTGCCTGGGGAGCCCATGGTGGGGTCTCGCTCACAGAAGTCAGGAGACTTCTCAAAGTAGACCAGCTCTCCTGAGAGGCGACGCGGACGCAGACGAGGTTGGAAGGCTCCAGAATTGCGGTTGTGGGTATCAATGAAGATGGCCCGGCCCAGCCGCTCCCTCAATGCTGCCCCCACTGTCCGGAACTCTGGGGCTGCTCTCCAGCATGTCTTGAACTGGCAGCTGCCTGACGTGCCATGGCACTTGCATTTCCGCTTCAGGTTTTCAGTTACCACCTAGAGCATTAGAGGGAGAAGAGGTGAAGGGGAGGGTAGCAAATGGACAGAGGCACAGAGGCACAGGAGAGGGAAGGGAACAGAGAACACAGGGAGGGACAAATGGAGGCAAGAATAACATGGACTATCAGAGCAGAAAGGGCATTATGAAGTTAGCTATTGCCCAACTCTCTCATTTTATGGTTGGAAAACTAAATCCAGAGTAGTGTGATTTGTCCATCTTCAGTCACTAGCTGGTAACGGAGCCAGGGCTCAACTCCAGTTGTCCTGACTCCCAGTCCAGTGACCTATCCAGAGTAAGTGCTGATAAAATGGGGAGTCTGGCCCAGAGCACACCTAAATTCTGTAGGGAAAGCAGCTGTACTAATAACTACTATATAATGAGCCAAGAACTAGGCACTATGCTGGGTGCACTATTTGCTAGCTCAGTCTTAACTAAGTATCATTAGGCTCTCTTTACTGAGGTTGGGTGACTTGCTGAAAGTGAGTGGCAATCACCCACTACACCTCGTCCTATTATTTTCCTGTGCCTCTCAAACTCTGGCCAGGCCTCAGAAGCTAGGGAGACCCAGGACAAGATGTACACACATACCTGGCGCCCCACCCTGTTGTTGTGGATTCGCATTCGAGCCTGGATGTCCCGGGGAGCTTCCCTGGAATCCAAGAAATCCCGAGAGAACTTCTCTCCAAAGTCCATGTCATGGTTACAGCCACCCCATTCCCATGTGTCCTGGGGGCCAGGGCTGGGGCCTGAGCCAGGGCCAGGGCTGGGCAGGGAGTGGGGGAAACTCTTGCCCCGGGACAGTGCCTGCAGCTGCAGCAGTTTGGCCCTCAGCCGCTCCTGCTCACCACTGCCCTTCCAGCCACAGCCGCAGCTCACCAGCTTGCCCAGGCTGCAGGCCGTGGCTACCGCGTGCATGACCCCAGCAGCCAGCATGGAGAAGGAAAAAGCACTCTCACGGAAACCTGGGGATGAGAAGGGTGTGATGGTGGAGGTAAGGTTGGCAGGCAGCTGAGAGATTGGGGAGGCGGAAGGAAATAAACAGCCCCCTCCAATTCCAAAAATTCCTAACTGAATCCTGACCCTGCCATTCACCAGCTGAGTGATTTGAGAGAAAGTCACTGGGGATGAGGAAGGGAACAGAAAGCAAAGAGCCTCATCCTGGAGAATGTTTAGGAGACTAAAAAAAAAAGTAGAAAGCACAGAGCCTCAGTTTCTTCATCTATAAAGGGAGAGGATGGATCAAGATGATCTCTGAGGCCCATTCTCGCTCTGTAAATCTGTGGTTTTCAGGTGTAGATGAAAGAGCTAGCCTAGAGGGAGAGACCTCTGGGGTTGGGAGATGACTAAGAGGGAGTCCCTGAGGTCTTTGAAGATGTATGCACTGAGTTCTACATCTGAAAGTCTTAGAAATTCCCCAGCCCTGAAGGGAGCTTGTGTGAGGTGGGAGCAGAGGACTTTGGGGTTCTTTTTTTCTTCAGGGTAATTTTAATCAATCTTTTAACCAACCTACCCTCCACCCCAACACCCCCAAAGCACTGGAGCTGTAAAGCTGCCCTTCCCCTTCCCAGGTTCTAGTTTTATATTTGCCCTTCAAGACTGCCCTTTATGTTTATCCTAACCTGCTATTACCCTATAAAACACTGGGAGGAGGAGAGAGGCGGGGGTGATTTTCCCTAAGGCCCTCTTAAAAGGTTGGCTTCTTTGTTATGTTTTGGGGGTCACAGAGGCTCAGGATGACAAGTCATTCCCAGGCTTAGATAGACATGCTCACTATTTGGGTATCAAAGCCTTCTCCTACACCAGGCCCTGTGGGGAAGGGGGGTATCCTCACTTTATTTTAGGCAGGGGCTTTCTGGAGTCCTGAGAAGATGAGAGACAGCACCTCCTTAGAGGCCAGTCCTTTCCTACACCAGGATCCAGGGCTCCTGGGCCAGCCTCCTGATCCCCCAACCCCAACCCTCCAGGGGTGAAGCTGTTTGCACATGTCTTGGGAATTTCCCCACAGATGGCAGCTGCCTATTAACCCCATAGTCCCCGAAGCACTGCCCCCACTGCTGGGCTGAGCCCCCATGGATCTTTACTCCTCAGGGAGTGAACTCTAGCAGAACATGGGGAGAGGCAGCAATGTCTCCCAGACCATGTCTCCCAGACCAGGCTGGCAGTGACCTGTTCTCTGTCCCTCCAGCAGTTCCTCACCTGCTCAGGTGAGTGACACCTGGGGCCCCCACAACACAGAGGAGGGGGCTGCTCTCGGCTTCAAAGCCGTCAGGGTCTTTGTTCCCAGCTTTGGCTCCTGGGAACCCCAGCAATTAGGGGAGCATGTTTAACCCTTAAACGGTTGGGGGCGTCACCCCACCCCCGCTGAGACTCTGGGGACACCAGCCTGGGCTTGTCCGGCAAAGACGGAGAAGAGAGAAAAATGGGGGAGGGATGGGGGGCGTTTGAAGCTTCCAGGGCTGGGGGCATCTCTTATTCACAGGTGCAACCTAGATCAAGCTGGCGGAGGCAGGAGAGGGAGGCCCTAGGGTAAGGGAGCAGGGACCCAGCTGCCTTGCCCGCAGCGCACAGGTGTTAAGTCAGGCGCTCATGGGCCCAGACGGTGGCCAGACCCGGCTCAGCGCGCTGGGGGGTGGGGGGGATTCCCGGGGAGGCCCCGCCCGGAGCCGCGAACCTTTCCCTTCTCGCCTCCGCGAGCCTCGGCCTGCCCCCCCAACCCCCCACCCCATTGCCTTGGCGGCGGCGCAGACCCGCCCAGCCAGGCTCACCGCGCTTGAGGATGGCGCTGTGGTGCGGCAGGCGACCGCCGCCCTCGAGCGCTGAGCAGTTCCAGCGCTGGTCGCGCAGCTGGTGCTGACACTCGTGGACCGCGATGTGCAGACCCTGAAGCGCAGACGCTGTCACGTCGGGGCTGCGCAGGCACAGGCCTAATTGCCGCTTGCTCAGGCCGGACAGCGTCAAGCACACGGTGTTGGCCGTGAGCGGCGGCTCACCGGGCAATTTCAGGCCCAGAATCTCATTGCTTAGAGCCCTGGGAACGGAGAAGGCGTCTCGGCGTCTGCGATCCAGGCCTCGCGCCCTCTCCAACTCCCCCCAACCCGTCGGTGCTTCTCCCGTAGCCTGGGAAACTGCTCACCGACTGCACAACGCCAGGAACAGGAGACCCGCGAGGCCCGAGGGCGGAGGCCGCGGCCGGGGCTCCTCCAGCATGTCGAAGCCCGGAGGCTCCGGTGGGCAGATCGATCAGGACCTGCGGGACAGGGAGACTTGATGCGGGTTCTGGAATAGGGTAGCTCGCCAGGACAACCAAAGGATCCCTTACTTCGGACTCCTGACCCACTGGTGCCACCCCACTGACTCTTCTCATCCCTCCTGAAACAAAACAATAAGACTCACCCCTTGGTTCCCAGAGTCCCTGAGTCCTGGAGGTCTTATAGAGGAAGAGTCCAGCCTCCCAGCTCAGGGCTCACGCGAGCGCCCCTGGAGCCCTGCCCAGACACAATGCCTGGCACACAGACACACACTCACATGCAAACTCAGACGTAGACTCACAAAACACTTGCTCCAGGACCTCACCCACCGTTCCCTCTTCCAGGGCCCCAGAACTTGCTTCCCCGCCCTCACAGGGCTAGGGAGCGGGATAGGAAGGGGGTTCCCCACCACCTACAGGGGTGTCGCCTCCAGGTGCCCTCAAGGGCAGGCAGATTCTACCGGAACGGTCTAAGAATGAACTCCTCCACCCCACTCTACCCCTTCCCAGTGGAGCAGGGAAAGATGAGAGGCTCCAGGTGTGGAAAAGACAGGGAGAGGAACCTGGCTACCTCCTGAAAGGGACCCTGGCAAGCTGAGTCCTCTTCCCTGTCCCTCACCTTTCTTAACTACATGCTCTCCTCCTCAGCACAGCAACCGTCTGGTCCCCACCCTTTGGCTCTCATGGTCATTGCTCTCCAAATCTGAGGGCACTCCCTTATTCGCTGTGTCTTTATCTCTAGCAATATCTCTGGCTCTCTCTGCCTCTCTGTGCTCCTGTGGGTGGATGCGTGTCTGTCTGACTACCCGCGTGCCTGTCTGGTCCCGTGTGCGCGTCCCTGCCCTCCCTGCTTTCCCAGGTCCCATTACCTCCAGTTGTTCGGGTGCGGGGTCCGCGAACGGCACGCTTGAGTCTCCTAGGTTCGGATCCGGCTGCTTAAACCGTGGGGAGACTGCGTCGGGTTCTGCCCCCTCGGCAGAGCCGCATTCTTCCAGGGCCGGGCCACTCCTCTTCGCTGTTTCCCCAGCGCCGCCGCCGCGGCCGCCGGGAGGAAGGGAGGGAGGGAGGGAGTGATCGAGAGAGCTAGCGAGCGGGCGAGCAAAGAACTGGGGGCTCTGGCTCTGCTCGCGCCGAACTCACGGTGGCTCTGCCGGGTTGTCGGAGCCGCGGCCCCACCCCGAGCCCGGGGCATCCCCACCCTACTCCGCACCCCCCGCCTTGACCAGGGGAACGCAGCCTCTCCCCCTCCTCCCAGTGAACACACACCCTCTCCCCCGACGCCGGTTAGGCTTGGCCCCACTGAAGTGGGAGGTGGCTAGAGCTCCTCTCACCTGCTCTGGGGTTGCCAAGGCTGCAGGGAGGGTGCAGTGACCCAGACAAGGGAGCCAGGACCAGGCCCAAGTGACCAAATCTTTCATCATTTCTCTTTGCCTCAGTTTCCCCACCGAGAGCAGGGTGGCTGGAGGGCGCCTTTGACAAGATGAGGATGGAGCTGAACGGTCCTCCGGCTTCTTGGATGTGGGATAGTTGCACGTAGAGCCCACAGCTATAGCACAACAGGGCACTTGGAATGGGCAGGAGAAGCGCAGGTCTGGGCGGCTTGGCTCCCGCCCACTCCAATCCGTGGGCCTGCCCCTTGGGAGGGGTCAGCTTTGGCCTCAGAGTTTGGTCCTAGCAGAGGCTCCAGTGGCCTCGAAGATTTCCAGCCTGCTCCTAAGTTTCCCTTGCCTTGCAGGCATCCTTGCCCACGGAGGTTTCATACCCTTCTTCCTGCGATTCCTGGGTCTGCACTTCGGGAGGCTCGGATTCCTACTCCCGGCTTCAGACTTGCTTCACATGGGCTGAGAAGAGCTTTGAGATCCCAAATTGAGCCCAGCCCAAGGGCAACCAGGAAAGGACCTGGTCTGGGGGTGCACAGACGAAGGCAAACCACCTTTGGGAGCTCCAGCGGCAGCGAAGGGGTTAGGCGCCACTGTGCTCCCGCCTGACTCACCCTCGCAGCTCTAACCACTGTGGGCTATTTTTGCCAGAGAGGGGCCCCAGGCTTCCCAGCCGCCCCCCGCCCCTGCCAGACCGCAGCCCAAGGCACGGCTGGCCCCGCGCGCCCCAGGCACATTGACTCAGAGACTGCCCCCCAGTAAGCAGAGGCACAGGGCTGATACCCACAGCCACAGTCACCTCTTCCTTGGTGGTGGCGGTGCAGTTCTGCTGGGCAGCCAGCCTAGTCTGCGCTGTTGCAGGTCCTGCCCTGTGCTGCAGGGGTCACTGCTGGATAGGGGGCACAGCGGTCCCAAGAGAGGCGACCAGCAACTTACATCTGTTGGGATATTTACTGACCACCACGCTCTGAGCAGGCTGAGGTGAAAGTGCCATGGTCCTTGACACTGGACAGACTGGACCAGAGAGGGCTGCATTTCTCTGATTCCCTACCTCAGCAGTGGAGGAGAGGGAGCCCTGGAGCTCCCGACCCTCCTTCCCATTTAGAGGACAAGAGCCAAACCATGTGTGGCTTTGAGGCCACCAGACTCTGCAAGCCCAATCTTGGTAGTTTTCATCCTTACACCTGGATTCAGTGATCCCCACCAATGTCCTCGTCCTTTTTCCTGCCCATCAGCCTGAGACTCCAGCCTGGTCCCTGGAAGAGGGAAATGAGATTTCCTTACCCCCCTTTCTCCATGGGGATCTCATGGACATTAGTATTTCTCCATATGGCTCTAGGTCTCCCTCAAGTTTTTTGCCTTCTGATTCCACCCCTCTCTGGCTCCAGCATACACTCAGGTGCCAAGAAAGGGCTGGAGTCAGAACGACTACCGTAGGTTTCAACTTCTCAGTAACCCTAGGGCTCCCCAAGCTGGACTGTTCCAAATCTAAGGAACCATACTCCCGCTACCTCTCTCCACTGAAGCCCAACTCTGGGACAAGAGGCCACAGGCAGGCAGACTGGGTGGCCTGAGCTGGCCCACAGTGCCCTCAGCCCGACCGGCTGGCCTGAGCACTGACCCGCAGGCGGCTAGAGGGCGGTGGGACAGGCGGGGCCTGGAGAGGGCTGCGGGTGCACACCCATTGCCTAATACCCCAAGCACGCGGCCAGCTCCAGGAAAGGGGAGGAGCGGGAACCAGAGAGCCCTTGACGTGGGTTGGGGCCATGACAGGAGGGGGAAAGTGGGGGGCTGTCATCGCTGTGGGGAGGGAGTGTGAACAAGCTTGTCCCCTTTCCCTTCCGTGAAAAGAGTGCGGGGCTGTCCTTGCCATCATGGGGAAGGAGGGTGTAGCGAGAGCAATGCGGGAAGAACACCGGGGCCCTGGAGGGTGGGGGTCAAAGAAAAGAGTGGGGGCCCCTGGAGATTGGGGGATCATCAAGCAACTGAGGCGGTGGCTAAAGCAGCCTCGGAAACCTCCTCCTACTCCTCCCCCCCCATGTTTGCCTTGGCCCGGGGTCCCGGGTGACTCATTTGTTGCTGAGCCGCTGATAGGGGCGGCCAGGGCAGGGGAACCCAAATTATAGGCCCAAGAGGGATGGATGCGCCCGTGGCGGTGAGCTCAGCTGTGCTGCCCACCCTCTGCCTCACACGCCTTCTGCTGCAGCACCATAGGCCACCACCCGGAGGCACCAAAGGGTCTGCAGCCCAACAGTGCTGGATGCTCAGAAAGCCCCCCACATTCAGCAGTCCACCCCAACAGATCTGTGGGATTACCCTAGACAGAATTTTGCCCCCTTCTCTACTCGGGGCTAATGGATGGGCTGTGCTTTCCCAGCCCAAGGAGGCAGTGCTGTCTGCCGGTGCTTCAAAGGAAGGTAGGCTCTTCCACCCACAAACTCTCAGCCCTGGTCCCCTATGTCCTCCCCAGATCCCAATGGCAAGGCATAGCCCCTTCACCCTCCAACACCTCTCCCCTATCCCTATTCCAGGGAGTGGTTTGCTACTGATTTTCTACCTCAAGCCTTTAAAGTTATCCATGGTCAAAAGTGATACAGATCCAGCTAAATGCTAAGAGTACATAAAAAAAAAAAAAAAAGAAAGAAAGAAAGAAAAAAGTGATACAGAGAAAAATAAAGCAGGGTAAAGGAGATTAGTAGTGAGGTTCTATTTTATAAAGAGGGAGGGAAAAGTATGTGAGGGAACAAACACATGGAGATATGAGGAAGGGCATTCCAGAAGACAGAAAGCAGGTGCACAGACCCTTAGAAAGGAGCATGCTTGGTATGTGCAAAGGATCCTCAAGGAAGTCAGTGTGGCTAAAGGGGAGGAACCCACAAAGGAGAGAGTGGTAAGCAATGCAGTTGGAGGACTAGGAAGGAACAGGGTCAGATCATATGGGGCCTTGTCAGCCACGGTAAAAATTTTGGCTTTTACTTTGAGTAAGATGGGGAAACACTGAAAATTTTGAGCAGAGAAATGAAGTGATCTGACTTCATTTAGAACGATGACTGTTTTAGAACGATGGCTCTGGGGGCTGTGTGGAGAACAGGCTGTAGGGGGCCAGGGTGGAAGCAGGGAGAGCTATTAGGGGGCTACTGCAGTAATGCAGGCCAGATAGTGGTGGCCCCTGACCAGTGTGGTAGCAGTGGAGTGGTGAGAATGGATCAGATTCTGCATATATTTTGAAGATTGAAGAACAGGATTTGCTGAATGATTCGACATGAAGTGTAAGAAAACAGATGAGTCAAGGATGACTCCAAGATTTTTCTTCTGAGCAACTGAAAGATGAAGTTGCCATTTATTGAGATGCAAACAACTGAAGAAAGAGCAGGTGGGGGAGGGAGGAATCAAGAGTTCAGTTTTGGGTGGTGGCTGGTGGCTCAGGCCTGTAATCCCACCACTCTGGGAGGCCAAGACAGGTGAATTGCTTGAGGTCAGGAGTTCCAGACCAGCTTGAGCAAGGGCAAGACCTCATCTCTACTAAAAACAGAAAAATTAGCCAGACATGGTGGTGCACGCCTGTAGTCCCAGCTACTTGGGAGGCTGAGGCAGGAGGATCGCTTGAGCCTAGGAGTTTGAGATTGCTGTGAGCTATGCTGACACCACTGGCGTCTAGCCAGATGACAGAGCAAGACTCTGTCTCAAAGAAAAAAAAAAGAAGAAGAAGAAAAAAGTTCAGTTTGGGGCACGTAAAATTTCAGATGTTTATTCAAGTGTTAGGTGTACAAACCGAGAGTTCAAGACCAGAAATATACATCAGGGAGCATAAAGCCGGATAGTCCACCAAGGGAGTTTGTGTAGACTGAGAAGCAGCTCAGATTGAACTGGGGTGTACTCCAATATTTAGAAATTGGGCCAAAAAGGAGCAAGCAGACAAAGAGGCTGAGCAAGTAAGCAGCAAGTGAGGGAGGAATGGCGTTCGAGAAACAAAATGAGAAAGTATTTCAAGAAGGAGGAAGTGTTCAACTGTGTCTGTTATTCCAGAAAGATTGATTAGGATGAAAACTGAGAATTGACTCTTGGGTAAGTCAACAAGGAGGTGGTGCATAGATGATTTTGATAAGGAAGTATAGTGAGTTGAAAGTGTGATTGGAGTAGAAAGAGAAAAAAGAAAAGAAATTGGCACTAGTAAATAAAGCAACCTTTTTGAGTTTTGCAGTGAAAGAGAGCAGAGAAATGGGGCGACCTTGGACAGTAATGTTTGTCAAACGGAAGTTTTGAGGTTTTTCAGATGAGAGGTATTATAGCATGTTTGCATGCTTATGGGTATGTTCCAGTACAGAGATAAATTGATAATGCAGGAAAGAAAGAGGAGACAATTGATAAAGTGATGATTTGATCTAAATAGAAATTTGGGCCAGGACACACACAATGTTATCCAGACCTAGGGCCCTTTTCCTCTTCCCCCGACTCCTGGTGGGTGGAACAGTGGAACAAAGGGTACTGACTCCTCTCCTCTCTTCCTACCTTTGCTTGACACTAGTGGCCACAGACAGGGCTTCCCTGTCTTCCAGCCCACGTCCTACCTTTGTGAAGTTGTATCAATCCACCAGGCCAAAAGATGTGACCCAGATCCCAGTGGGGAGAAATATCTAAGTGACAAAGGACAGGCTGCCCGTAGTACATTGTCCATTTACTTGAGCCATCTATTCTGGGTGCTCTATGCACAGGGACTACCAGCTTTTGGATCTGTGGAGGATGCTGGGCCGGTACACTTTGCCCCCCAGGGATGAATCCAGGTCTGGGCTGGGCAAAGGGTCTGGGAAGGACATTTCCCTCAAGAATAACTTCCATCAGGCTTCATCTGGGTTAATACACATTTCATTTAATACAC